TTCATCGGTATTGGAATTTTTTAATGCCCTCGACATCGGTTTAGACTAAAGAATCATTTCATAAAAAATATTATTGTAATTGTGATTTGATGAATTAAAGAGACACGCGTGTACAAGAGACTTGTATTTGCAGGTAAATTCTTTTGCAACACTGTGTCAAGACAACTTTGTGAGAATATAGTACCCTTGCATTATGTCAGAACCGTCACCGCGACATCATAAGCGAAGTCGTTCCCTTCAAGAGACGGACAAAGGGCTATAGAGTCACCGGACCCTCAGAAAATGCATCGCTATTCCGCCGCAGTGCCAAATGGCCGGCGCGGCGGTCACGGCGCCCGAATAAGTCTGTTACGCTGGAGGTGAGAACGGCGGCGGCGGGGCGGCCGGCCGACGTAACGTCACCGTCGGTTTGATCACTCATTTCCGACCGGAGGGCGCTCGGCGCCTCACCTCCGGGCACAAAGCGGATGATTTAACGCGGCCTTTCTTCGGACCTCGGTCAATTGGGCTGCTTGCGTCTGGCATTCCCCACGCCCCGCTGCGGGCGGACCTCGTGGTTAGCGGCCATGGCGGAGATGATGGAGGCGGCAGCGCAGTCGGCGCGCAGGAGGAAAGCACGAACTTGAGGAGTGCGGCAGCGAGCAGGGTGCGCGCGCCGCCCCTCGTCAAGCACCGGCAAGCGCCCCCTATTAGAAGGCTTAAAGGATTTGCACGAATGCTGCGCAGGGGAGGGCCTCAAGAATGTGCCGCAGACGGGAAGGGAAGGATTATGTTAGAATTATTGAGGGGGTTTTGACGCAAGAAACCCCTGTACACGGCAATTAATTATCATTTATCATAAAGGGTGCAAAGGAAAGACACAACATGGAATAAAGAAGCAAGGAAATCGGGGCAACTCTTAGTGTAACAAAAAGTAACAAACACCACATTTTTAAAAATATTCGAAAAATCCACATGACCGAATTTCCCATTCACAAAGAGGTGAAGAGAGGCAGGTGCCGTGTCCAGCACGCGTGTCCGTGATTCAATATGAACGGTGCCGTGCACGCAAAGGGGTCGCCTCTTTCTTTATTCCGCATTATTTTACTTTTTTATTACCGTCCACGCGGAAGAGGGCCCTCCCCTTTATTGGTTATGGATATTTGGGAAAGGGGGCGTGCGGATCAAACGCGCAAGAGGGCCGCGTTCGCGTCAGCGCCGTGCTGGCCTAGGCCATGGCCTCGGCCACCGACAAGGACTGGGACGCCCCGGACGCGGCCCCGGCGGGCCCGGCGCGGGCACAGGCGCGGCCGCAGCCCTTTTTGTCACCGGCCGATACAGCAATTTTCTGACTTGGGACACCGTGAAGGCCTATTACGACGCCGAGGCTCGCACTGCGCGGAAGAAAGTACACCTCTCCTTTTAATCGCGTCCGATTCGCTCGGCGCCGTGGCGGACGCGGGAGGAGGGCGAACAGAGGAGGAAAAGAAGGAGGAACGTGGAGAAAAATCCGTCATTCTTTCCGTGCTGCTCCACTTCGTCCGTAGAGAATCACTGCGAGGAAATGTGTGATTCGTCGCCGCCGCGCGACTAGCCCCCGCAGCCCCCCCACGCCGAAGGGCCCGAGGGCCGGGACGACAGATTCGCGATCGACACCCGTTCGGAGTCGTGGTGGGGGGCAGATAAGCCGAAGAAGGGTATCGCCTGGCCAATACCTAGGGCCACCGGCGGCCACCAGGGCGACAACGCTAGTTGCGTTAGTGGGAGGGGCCGGCGACAGGAGAGGGAGGGGCAATAGGCCGAAAAAATCCCCCTTTGCCTAAATGAGAGAAAGCATATGGCACTTCTTGTGCTGGACTGCGATCGACTCGTGGCGGGGGCGGCATTCCCCTGTTTTTCGGAGGGGCGCGGGTGCAGAAAGTGAGAAGTACCCTATAAAGGCGTATTGTTGGGCGTTGGCCGGACACAGTCTAGCGTCGCCTTGTCCTCAGTGCACTAGTGCCGTAGTGACCGAACGATCGATCAGGATGGCAGCCCGCCGAGCCTCCGCGAAGTGCGTGTCCGTCTTACTCGTGGTGGTGGTGATGGTGTCCGGCAGTGCCAGCGCCAGGATTGCGCTCCCGACTTCGGATTACAACAACCTGGATATTTCATCGCACCCGTCAGAGCAGCAGCTCGACGCACCGTCGGCGTCCACGCCGCCGCCCTCCACGGCCTCCGACAGCGCCGAGCAGTCGGTCGGCGAGGACGCCGGCGTGCTGCTGCCGTGGACGGTGGGCGCGGTGCGCATGCTCCGCCGCGTCTACCTCGAGTGCCGTGATGACGACCTGAGCTCGTGCCTCAAGGTGCAGATGGTTCGGGCCATGGACAGGGTAGCACGATCCACCCGCAAGGTGGCACTCGCCGCCGGCGTCACCCTGGAGCGCGACGCGGACGCACCCGAGCAGCCGACGGCCAGCGCCACCACCGCCGACGACCTGGAGCACTCGCTGCCCAGGTCGCTGCCCGAGCGAGAGCGCTCTCTGGACAAGCTCATCCTGGAGAGGCTCTACGGCTTCCTCCAGAACTACTCGCTGCGCTTTAAGCTGCCCTCCATCGCCGAGCTTGGAGGCGCCGTTGGGGAGGACGGTGAGTTCCGGGGAACGGGAGGTCAGAAAGCAAGTGCAGGAAACGGCTTTACCGTTCTGCATTCACCTCGCCCGGTACGAATACGGTCGATGCACTTCCCTGCATTTAGCCGCAAGGGATCATCCAGAAAGTACGTGTGCAATTGCCGATACGAACTACAAACCTGCCTACTTCAGCCTTCTGAAAGCTATCAGAGCGCCTGGTAGGTAGGCAACATATTGCCCGCAGTGCATGCGTGTAGTGCTGGATGGCCTATCCTGAGCCTCACAGGCGCCGAGCTCATGTAATTTGACTAATGAATTTGAGAAAAACGCACGTACTTTTTGGGCTGTCCGTTCAGGTGACGGAGTGCTCTCCTCACCTGTGGCAGTTAGTTTGGAGTCATTCGTGTGAACCCATCAGAGGCTCACGTGATGACGCCACAGTTGTGACTTGGGCAGGAGGGGCTGAGGGAGAAGTTGACTTTCATGTTTGTTAGGTTCCCCCTTCCCTTCCGGCTCCCCGTGGTTAAGAAGGTTTGTGATGACACGGTGCAAACGAGACTGAGTAAAATCTGCATGAAACTGAGAGTTGGTGATTCAGCTTCACAGACCAGAGCAGAGCGTTGGAAGTAGTGCGCGAGGCTTCCAAGAGCTCAGGGTAGGGGTTCTAGCACGTTTTCGCCAATTTCGAGCTACGACCACAAAGTGGTCTCTGTGTTAAAAACCTAGATCTTGTTGTTTGTGTTGGACTTTGGACACTGAACATTCCGATATTTTAAGTTTATATGTCCAAAATGCACCATAAATCCCTATAAGTTTAAACACAACAAATTTTGTTGTGCTTAAGCATGCTAAATTTTAAGCCATATAAGTTTGTGCCCAATTTCAGGGGGAAATCACTTGCACACTAACTCGTACACCCAGACTTGAACAAAGACGTACACTGTTAAAATCCAACGAATTATTGCTAATGGTAAAATCAATCGTTACTGTGCCGTAATAACATGATTTCGAATAAATGATGAAAAGTTACAGTTTTCTAACGTACGAACTCGTACACATTCATCTGGAGTGATGCCCCCCTCGCAATTTCATGCATAACTACAACTCGTTCATAGTTTGTCCATAACTATGTATAAAATGTGTGCATACGTATGGTTGTAAAATTCTGCATGTGTGTGCACAACATAATGCAATAGGGTTTAGTGTGTAAATGCGAAATTAATGGCCACTTGTCAACAGGAAAAGTTCCGATTGAAGTGTGTTTCGTTGAATCGTAAGACCCAAAGTAGAAATGGTTAGATGTTGAGTGAAAGACTGGAAAGAAAAATATTACCGAAAACTATCAGTGGCATTTCGTTCACTTAAATATTGGAGGTAACCAGGCAAGATATGAGATCGAACGTCATGCCAATCTCTTGTGCACACGCTCTGCAGAGGTTCTATGGAACCTGCTGTACGTGTATGCAATACTCACTGAATAAGCCCTTTCCTGGAGTACCCTTTCAAGGTGGGCCTCCAATGAAACCTGGAACCCATCACCCATTATTTCAGATTTTGCTGTTATTGATGCAGCCCAAGTTTGCTAAATGTAAATTGGAAATTAAGCAATGCCAGAAACACATTTTCACAAATTTTGCGGGTATAAGGGTGCTTCTATGAGGAACCAATAAGTACCTATCATTTATGATTAGACCAGTATATGGTCACTCAAACATGTTCATAATCAGTGAAAATGTATTTAATGCATTACTAAACTTCCAAATTACATTAAGGAAAACTCAGGCAGCATCAAAAATATCGGAATCTGAAATGATGGGTGATGGGTTCCAAGTTTCATTGGAGGGCCACCTTAAGTAAGCAAGTAAAAGTGTGTACTTTGTCATGTATCAGGCCGTACTGGATATCTTCTCGGACAAAAACTACAGCACGTGTCATTTAGGCTGCAATTCCACGTGTGTTAACCAGGCATCGAATAGAGTATCTCCAGCATGCATGGCCATGTACCAGGCAGCTTATTGGCCCCGCGTACTTCTGCAGTTATACTGTACCACACGCACGTCTTACGGGCCAAGCTGGCAGGAACCCGCACACGTCTAGGAATGCGATGCAGCATGACTTTTGAAGTGCGCGGGGTTATTCAGTCACCTGATATGTACAGTGTCTCCATTGCTAATCAACCTACAGAGTATTCAGTACATACTTTGTAAAGGTAGTGTCCTAAGCATCCTATAGTAGTTTATTTTTCAACGGTTTGTCACTGATTTACCACCCTGCACCATCTTGGTTCCATATCTTACGTCTTAGTCCCCGAAAGATACACTATAGAAATTAAATGAGTACAATGTAACGCGTGATTCGGTTCAGTAAACGAAGACTGTAACAATACGAAACACGGAAAAACAGCAGCACTTTGTTTGCACTGAATTTCCTAATTTGTTTTCGGTAGGTACGTTCCGTAAGTCACCCGCGGCTTCGCATCCTGTTTCAGCTCGCCGTCGGCGCCCGCCCCTCAATGGCCTCATGGGCCTGGGCATGCTCCTGGCCGGCTCGCTGCTCCCCATGAAGTTCGGCATGCTCGCCATGCTCGCCGGCAAGGCCCTCATGCTGTCCAAGCTCGCCCTGCTCATCTCCGCGCTCATGGCGATGCGCAACATGGGGTCGGGAGGGGGCTCCTCCGGCGGCACCGCCCACCACTGACGACCAGAATTTTAATTTA